CTGTTCAAGCATCCAAGCCTCCAGCACAGCGGGTCAGCTCAAGGAAGAGGGTTACGAGTTTTCCTCAACCGAATGTTCGCACGGTGCGAGTGTTTTCTCATCGCATCTTCTGGTCGAGCATTTGAAGAGAGGAAAATAAGGAAGAGGGAAGAAAAGAGGAAGGAGAGAAAATAGAGAAGAAGGATGAGAAAAGGAGGATCTGCGGTCAGCAAATATTTTGAGGCAAAGGGAGAAGTCTTGACTGAAACCCTTGATAACAGGAAGAATTACTCTTTGGTCTCCCATATAGGTAATTTCATTCTGCAAAGAAAGTTACAGAACAGTGTTGGATCTTGTTATTGTACAAAGGCAACTGAAACGGGTAAAATCTGTGGAGTAATTTCCATCTTAGACCAATTTGAAGAGATTTAATTGAGAATGACAAGGTTTTTACTTTCAGCAGAGTTCTCAGCCAGTGGTCTAGTACTACGGGGCAGCAATCGTTTATACCGACGTTAAATGTCTACGATAACATTCGGCTGCCTATTAAGACAAGTCGTATGACGACGTTCATACTGACATACAGGCAGCTCCGGCGTTGGGAAGAATCTCTTCTTGACACGATACCGCCTCCCCAAACTTACCCTCTACTACGAGCCTCTGTCAACCAACCTCTAACCGAACTTTCCTAAAAATCTGCCTAGCGGGAGGAGGAGGAGGAGGGGGTAGTCACCTCCGCTCAACTAACAGAAATAGTATTTTCACTTCACTTCGCTGCCGATAAGGGGAACACGGAGATGTGCGTGAAACGGGAAAAATCAACGACCAGAAAAAAATCTCGAAATCTCGCGACCAAATACCCCCTCCAGCGACTACAGATGACCTCCGCTGGGAATCCTCAACGTATGACGTGCCCTGTTGACACGTTACGAGGAGATCGCGTCTTGGAACACGCTGCCTTTTCACGCCCTTTCTCCGATTTCTTTGATGTTGACCGGCAGTTCGATCAGGTAGAAGTGCCGTTTGTTTTGTTCTATATTATCTCATCGCGGCCTCAAAGAAATGACTGCGCTCAGGTTCTTGCGCAGACTCTCCTCTCAAAGGGAATGCTGTGCTGCAATGTATTGCACCACAGCATTCCCTTCCACGTTTTTATGATACTTCCTGTTGGAAGAGTTCCTTGGAGTAACGACGCTTTTCAACTTGGCTACCGCATTCGACTGAGAAGACTCGTTTGATGGCGAAAATGTCTAGAGGAATTCCGGGGGAGGGCTCATTGGAAACGGATAATTTTGAAAATAAATGGCCTCGATTCACTGCAATTGCAGCAAAAGGCCGACTTCATCTTACCTTTAAACGTACCAGAAGAATAAAAACACAGAAAGCCATAAAGCGCCAATGAACAAAAGGAGCAAAATTGAAAAAAGTCACATTACATGGAACCTCATGCCGAACCGCGTTTTTATAGGCACAAGACAAAGAAATTATGTACCTGCAACCTTAGGTGATGAAATCAAGTCACTGGCTATGATTTCTAGCCGCTAAAAAGTTCGAGAAGCACATTCTGCGCCTTCTCATAAATGAACACCTAGACCGCACTGTTATCGCTAATGCGCTCCTCGTTCCCTTTCAGAAGATAGGAGCTTATCAAAAAGAAGGGTACACTCATCCAAGTAACTCAGCAGTGTGCATCGGGTCGTAAACTGCTCAAAGGTCCCGCGTCTAAAAGTGGCGGTTTGAGCGGCTCAAATACGAGCGACAATATGGTGAAGAACATAAAAGTGAGGAAAAACGCACACCTTTCCCCTTCCCAAATACCTCACGTAGGACTCCATGCCAGACCACGTTCGTAAGTGCACAGGGGGAAGAAGGGGAGTGACCGGAGAGTTCTCTTTTGTTAGGGCCGTTCTTTCTCTTTCTCATCTAAATGGACAGAGGGTAGAGGAACAGACGCGCCACCGCTGCTTTTAGAATTGCGAGACGAAGCATGCCCTTAAAGACAGCTCCCGCGATAAAAGTGTCATGGATAGTTGCTTTTCAATTATGAAACAGTAGCTGATAAGTAATTCCCCAAAGAAGAAAAAAGCAAGAAGAGTCCTCAAGAACACCATAAACGCTCCCTGACAGTCACACCTCCCTGCGGTCTCTGTGCAACCCCTGGCTCACAAATCCCTTTATCACATCTCCCAGTAGTGGATATCATCCAATGCAAAGAAAAGAATACGGAAAACAACAAAAACACGGAAGAAAAACTCTTGAAAAGGAAAAGAAACTTTCAAAAACTCGGCGTCCGAATTTAGGGTTACGGTAGCGTGCATCTTTTAGTGTAGTGTAGTGCGTCGAGCTTTTGCACCACGAAAATTGGGTCGCTCGTGATTTTTACGCGTTTTACTTGCGAGATGGGTTGGAGTTGACTGTATGTGCCCTAATGAATAAAATGTAATGAAGGAGAGCAGAATCATTCATGGGCACAAGCGCGGTCAGCGAAAAGGAGCATGCGATTCCGATTAATGCCCGCCGCCCCAAACAACTGAGCGGCCCTCCGTCAGAGGGCATCTAGCAAGTGGCGGTCCAACTGAGCGGGCGTTAGAACTAGAACTTTCAGCGGCTGTAGCTCGCTCCTCGCTCGCTGTAGTTGCGAGAGTGGGACAGTCTCTAGCTTGGGGGCTGTACTACTTGCACAAGGAAGGACGACCATGTACTGCTTGAGCACGGGGGCTGTCTACAAAGAGGAGATTCACAAGGATGTCAGAGTGAAATAAATGCGGCGGGTTCCCGCTACCACAAAAGCAAGGAAAAGAAATTATTTAACGAACAACTGCAAATGCACGAAGATCATCATATTCACACGATCAATGAAAGGGCTTCTTCTCCCGTGTTAAGAATAGACTTTTCAGAAGGATTGATGGGAGACACGAAATGAAAAAAGTTGCACCAATAATCTGTCAATTCTGAATAAGTGCGGAGGAAGGGCTTGTTGGTTGAGACTATCGTATAAAAACCTTTTTTTCCTACCATTCATGGAAACAGCATAGAACTCCCAATAGAAGGAGATTAGCTTGTTTACCATGATCTGATGACGCCAAAACTAATGTGACGAAGGGAAACCTACTCATAAGTATCCGAATCGTCACAACAATCGCATCACGAAAAATATTTCCGCGGAAAATAGTTGTGGACAAAACCGGCTGCAAGCACTACATTTGACGTTTATATTGCGAGTGAATGAGGCGAAGATAACTCTGCGAGCGTTATTATAACAAAGTACAGAAAACACCAAAATCACACTCTAACTTTATCATCTATTTACAAAACACTAAAGAAACAATTCGATTCATCTACTATCCCAACAATGACCGCTGGATGTATCTTTCCACATCGCGGCAGCCGTGTCTGAAAATTGGAACATTTCGATCGCTCACGCAGATACAGTTGGAGCGCGCAAATTCGCTCGCTACTAACAATAAGTCTTGAAATGTCCACTTACCGAACAAATTATTGCGGATAATGTCCATGTTGTTCGTATTGGTCTCGAAGGCGCAGGGCATGCCATCTACCGTAATCCACCCAAGTAGTCGACACCGGCTGGTAACTCCAAGCCTTGTAATCCCAACGCTCTCCTTCCAAATGTTTAACACGCTGCTCAATTTGCCTGAAAATCGTGAATAACGTCAGCGCCCTATTGCACACAAAATTAGGGCAACCAGCTAGCCCAGAAAATTGGAATTTGTAAATTGGTCTTATTAGTATCACATGCCTATCGAGACGAACTTCTGAAAATCCTCCTCCCCCTTCCACCCAATAAAGAACACAACAGTGAAGACTCATTGATCAGATAGCTTCTTTATGACACCCTCCGACTACTAAGATATTCTTTCAGATGAAGAGCGTTTTTTTCAGAACCGTCTGCTTAATGTTATAGAAGTGCATGCGTGTACCACAAAATTATGGCTCGTTTTTCCTGTGCGCAGCTGAGAATTCCCAAAAATGAGGAAAGAAGTTGCACAGTTTTGTGGCGAATCGTGACAGGAAGCGTTCCTCTCTTTCGAAAAAAAGAGTTGTGTTTTGGTCACGTTTTCGAGATGACTGCCCTGGAAGATGGCCTTGGAAGGACTCCTCAAGCAGAACTGGGATTCACATCATTTGAACAGAATTACTACACAGTTGAAATAGGTTCACGAACACCGACGTCACTTCCGTTATCCACAACGATAGATCGGCTTTTGTCAACTCCCTCCCCCCTCGAGATTATTAGCGACCATGTTTAGGTTCAGACAAAAGAACCAAACATATATAAGCATAAAGAAATTAAAAATACACGGTAGCAAAGCATCATCATGGAGATTTGAACCATCGAAGTACTTTCTTTTTTTTGGCAAAACTGCAGCAACAATGAATGCTGTGGTTCGAGTACTTTCCCTTACAACATGCAATAAACCGTTTGGAACAAATTTTCCTCAGGCAGATGAGGAGAGTCATATTGAATCATGTTTGCGTAATGGACTTTTTGTCTATTACACCAAGGAAAATCCATTTTACTCACAGTTGATCAAATAGAGAAATCAAACGTTCACATAATTTGCTTATCCATGCCATGTCACGCACACTAGTCCTACAGCGAGTCCTCCTATGTTCCTCATACATCTTTGACATTTTTTAGACACGTTTTGGAGATGATTACCCTGGATGATGGCATTGGAAGGATTCCTCCAGGGTACTTAACGTTAAGCTTTGCTTCGTTCTGACTAAGAGTAGTGTTCAACGCATCTAAAAAAAACTTAACCAGACCTCCATCTAGCCTGTATTCCTAGTTTTTCATAATATGCGAGATTCCTTTCATGGTGTTCGATATCCGAAATCCCGAAGTGTTTCGCCCACCACTGACGAACGGGTGTTCTCTCGAACTGCCAATAATGTGGAGGTTCACCCTGGAAGAAGAGGAAAAAGTCCTGATAAATCATAGGGATTGCACTCAAGAAACGATATCATTGGTGACCTTTCAACAGTATGAACTTTCACTGGAACAGCTTGGTGATTCGGGGGAAATTCGATAAACCGACGAAAACTGATAGAAATTCAGCAACAGGCGGTTGGAATCACAATTTAAAAAAGAAGAAAAACTTTGTTCCAAAAAGCAAACAGCTAATAACAATAGTTCTCTAAGGAACTAGAAAAATTCCCGCAGCAACGCCTCCAGTGCAATTGATTGGTTTTGTTTAGAACTCCTGCTAACGATGAATAACCATGAATGGAATCACAAAAATGCTAAACTGTAGGCACGTTTCACACCCCATGCGAGACTCGAGTATCTTCCGCTGACCGGGTGAGTGCGCTATCCAGTACACCCTCGGGGCCGTTATCCTCTCAGCCCAATGGCTTTCATGCCGTAGCCTCACAGCAATCACACGTCCAACGCGATGAGCTGTTTGGCCGGTAGCGGCAGTGAATCGCAAGGCAGGCATCAAACAACAGCATTAAAACTTGTAACTCCACATGTTTTGAAGAGATTTTAGAGTGATAACCGCTGTTCAACGCCGCAGTTCGAATGGAATCAAAAATGGAATCAGTTTTTGCCACACTAAAATGTATGTTAATCAAAAAGCAATGTCAACACATTGCGGATCGTGTGCACCACCACGTGAACTCATTCGAACACGCGCAGGAAGGACGTCATATTTGACTTGTTCGGAATTTTTCAATTTCTAAAGTTTCCTCAAAACTTCTTTGGACCCGTAAACAGCATGTGTCTAGCCCCATTAGGAAACATGGTTAAACAAATTTATAGGATTTCAAAAAGGCTAACACTTAAACCAGCAAAACTCACCTCGGGATAATCCTTCAGTTCGCATGTTCCATAAACGATATGGTTATAAGCGAGGCAAAGCATAACGGGCAACACTCCGATACCAATAAAATAGAAGTGGCAGAAGTCCTGTAAAACATTGAGTTTTTATAAAAATACTGAGGTATGGGCAAACCTCTTGATCCCAAGTGGAGCCCCAATGCGCACATAACGCTCTCTGGCGTGTGCGCTATCCCTTACGTCACCAGGGCGACCTCTTACCCTCTCAGCTTAACGGCTTTCATGCCATAGCCTTACAGCACTCACACGTTCAACATGGTGAGCCGGTCAACCATTATCATTACAGGACAACAACAACAACAACAACAACAACAACAACAAGTAGTTTCCTTGACGAAAAACTGCGGAATGGCAGGCAAAAAAGTCAAGAGCTGCATAGATCATGGTTGCCAGGGACAATGGAAGGCAGTGTCGGAGTACAAAACTTAGACATATACATTCTGAAGCCGTCACTAACAATAAGTGAATTATACCACGATCAGATTCAGTAGCGCGCTGAACCAGGGGTGGAACTTCAAAAGAATGCTAAGTCGTAGCTCGGCGACGGGGCAGAAGAGGGGGGTGGGTGGGGAGTAGACATCTTGCTTTCTAGCTTCTTCCCATGGTCAATCATTGCTTTAGAAGATTTGACAAGTAGTTTTTACAACTTCGGCTGGTATCACTTCACGAGGTTTCGCAGATCGCTACTTGATGGTTCGACATGATAACGGGATGCAGCGAGAAGGCAAAATGCCACTCCCCCTCCCTCTCCCCATCGCAGAACTGCGCAGAATGCCAATTCACCGAGAAGTGTAGATGTTGAGCAGCAACGACGCTGCTTATTATAACCACATTCAAAGGGTCCATGATGATTTCATATCACTGCGTTTCAGAATCCCTCGTGGAAAGGTTCTTTGAATGTTAAACACCATAAAACGTAGTGTAATTCATTACCGTGCGGCAATGACTGTCAGTCACAGTAATGAAATCGTATCAGCATAAGAAGGAATTGCGAGAATCTCCTGATGATTAAACCAACAAAATTCACACGTAGTACATCCCTGCACCACAGAGGGGGAGTAGGATGGAAGAGCGGGTGAATTTGATTCAGCGCTCCTAGTTAGCGGCACACTTACTTCACTCTAGATTTGTCTGAGGACAAAACATCATGTGATGAACACTTACTTTTATCCTATTGCTGATCAGCTGGGGAGGCCTTTTCCTAAAGAGATTAGCGTGAGACTCTCGTATAGCAGGCATCATGAACGAAGCTGGCTTCAGAAGCCCACGCGATGCCACTGGTAGCATTTTACTCAGTGACGTCATCCTGGTATTGTTGGAGTATCACCTTAAATACAACCATTAACCGATTGGAAATACTGGTCGAAAACCAACGGCAAACGGGAATCACAAAAGCTGAATTTCTGCTGCGGATGAAGGGACGTGTATTGCAGTACGAGACGAGTGATAAGAACGATATCATACAGCCTTGTCACTTGTTCGCTTCAACAACTGGTGAAGAATGGGTTGCACCGCGCCAAACTCATCCCGCCTGACACGCCCCTTCGTCCGCAGCGAACTAGGCTTATCAATTAGTCTGCTCAGCACGGCACCAAACTCGATGTAACACAATTAATGATCGTAAAGAAAAGAAAATGGTTCTAGTATAATATGGTAGAGCGTTTTGTGATCAGTCACTCTGTAGAGAGGATTTTTCCATGAAAAAAGCAATCTGCTCATGAACCGTGCGGTTCGCGGGCGTTGTACAAGCAGCCTGCTCTTTAATCTTTGAGCCAATTCTGCTCCCGCGGCTTCACGGTAAGTAACGAAGGCACTGTTACCTTTAGAAGTGACAGTTCTCAGCCCACCGAGGTTTCGGGGAAAAATTCAGTTTCACCGTATTTTTCGTTTTCTTTCACTGTAAAATGGTATTAGCACTGGATGACGCGATGAGTGAGCCAGAGGCGGCAGAATATCGCGTTACTAGTTTGAAAAGAGCAGGAGCTCGTCCAGGGAGGCTGCCAGGCTCTTAATTAGGATGTTAGGATGTTCTCCCATGGTTTTTTTTCTTGTTCTTTCGGCACTATTCAACTACTACTAGCCCACTCTGCCGAAAACAGGACCGATTTTCGTCGACTTTCTTCTACGGGATCAGATTCGGCTAAGAATTTGGCTAAAGGATAGTTCGACCTTCCTGAACCCGTACATCACATCGGCTCGACCTACAACTACCTGGCTCCGCGCTACAGCCGCCGGCGCCAAAACACCCTGGGACACGAAATCCGCTGAAAACTCGTACTCTCGGGTTATTTGACATCCTGATTACAAATATGACATTCATTTTACGCGCCGGCGCTAATGAGGAGGACACTACGATCATCTGTGATCACTCTCCCAGGCTCAGCCTTAGAAAAGCGCTAAATGGCGCTGGCGTCGAAAAATGAATGTCATATTCGTGATCAGGGCATCAAACAACCCCATTATGCAGGTTTTTATCGATTTTGATTAGAAAAGGTGTGGTGGCAAATCGGCGCCTAATGGCGCCAATTAACGCCAAGGCTAAAAATGAATGTTATGTTCGCAGTCAGGGTACCGACTAATCTCATGTAAGTTTACACCGATTTTTGTGAGAAGGGTGAGGGGCGGCGCCAAATTGGCCCCTGGTGGCGCCAGCGTCGAAAACGAATGTCATACGTGATCAGCCGAGTTACCCTTATGAGCAATTTCGCCAAAAAAATTTTTTGAGTTTTTGGTGTAGTCATAGTTGTAGTGCCTTTTCCGAGACTAACGACCGGTGCGAAAAGTTTCAACTTTCACTCCAACGTTTCAAGTTTCATAATTTTCAATTTTTCTTAGGAGAGACTAACTGCTTTGTTGGCTACCTCTGTATAAATTGTACTCAGAGTGAACGCCAAGGACAATTTACACCGAAACGACCTCTAATGAATTTCAGTTGTGACCCCTAGAAGACTAGAAAGCAACCTGAAACTAAACTAGGCACCACTAACTGTTCAAAAGAAAGGGGTCCTTCGCTCACAGAGTATGATCTAGGAGCTATTAATTTTACTCATTTCCTTATGAACAAATTCAAGCGACCAAACCCTACCTTATTACTACGCAAACTTATGAGTAAAGGAAGCAGGGGTCAAAAACGATAATAGACTTCGAAGTGATCTGAGCTCAGGAGGAACCATAAATAACAAAACCAAAAGATAAAATACGAAGAAATTAAAGTAAATCCGAATAAAAATGCGCCAGTGTATCAATGTTGCGCAAATCGACCACTGACGCGAATGTGGTGCGTTTGCCTTTCGTCCTCTCACTTTTTGTCTTGCTTTTGTAAATCATCTTTGAAATTCTCATAATCAGCAACGACTGTTCGAGAAAAACACTAGCTTGATGGGAAATAAGGGTGGTAACCTATCTGAGGGGGAGGACTGCTTTTACGTTTGGATTTCATTGTTTGACCTCTAGATTCGAAACATATCTTTGGTCAACGTGTAAATCGCAAAAAATTGCTCAAAACAAGATATACGCATAATTCGTCAATTTACTCGACTACTTCCGTTCAGTTCGCATCTGGACGATGGTATCCACAACCTGCGTAAGTGAACTAGATTTTTCCCAGTTTTCCAATTTCTTTTCAACTAGCTCCCAATGCATCATTCTTGAGAATGCTCGTTCCGAGTACCGAACAGTTCAACGGTAGCGTTTATACTTTGCGAACGGGAGGTCTGACGTTCCGGGAAATCCACTTATGGAGCAGTGCGCAATGTATATGTGTCGAGCGAACCCACGGCTTTGGAGAATGTGCGAAAGCGAGAACGTGTGGTTCGCTAGCGGGTGAAATTAGCCGTTTTTATAATCTCTCTGCGTGTAAACCAAACCAGTTCTCATGATCGCAAATTAGCCAGGTACGCATACGCATGCCCCCCCCCCTCCCGCACATTCTTCTCAATCTCGGATCCTCCACAGCCTCAGAAAATGACCCTGGGGCTTTTTAGTGTAAGGTGCTACCGCAGTTCCAACGACGAGAGACGCGACAACCGTTTTTTGCTCTGGGAAGGGTGTATACAGTTAGTCCGAAGTCGCAGCCAGCGCGGCAAAAGTGGCATTGCAAGTGGTTACCCTGAACCCAATCGATAACCGAGGCAGAGCTGCGTTGGGTCGAGTCAACTAGATAGGAAATACTCTACTAAAACGCACGCGATGCCACGAGTGGGGACAAGCAGTACACAGTTCTCTGTGATCCTAAGAGCGAAGACTCCCCATCTGCGCACCGCCAAGATTAAGAACATGGAGAGCGGCTGAGGCGCAGATGCGCTGCTTGGTTCTCTCCGAACTAGGTTAGCAGCCAGTGCGAAGCTTTCAAGGCATTTAGAACCGCAACAAACAGTTTTATTACAAGCGTTCAACAACTGTTGTACTCGTACCCATCACGGTTCGAGTAAAGTGTCTCTTCAAATAAAGTAGCGTCAAATCAGTTTGTTCAGGTGCAAAAGACTGATGCGGTAGGTAGAGGGGGGAGGGGTGGGAGAAGCATAGACAGTGCAAGCCCTGCCGTTGCAAAATACGACCACGCTCCCTGGTTTCTCATCCTACCTACGGTCTTCATTAGTACCCAGTTTCATACCAACTTTCCGTGTCTTCAAAGTTCTTCTT